CCCCCCCACCGGAAGGGTCAACGCGAACAACAACTAGGGGCCACCCGCACGGACCGGCCTGCCCTCTGGAAACGCCGCCCCCCACCATAGTCACGGAGCTCTCTCTACCCCACTTCCTCCTGGTTTTGGGGTTGTTTTGGGGTTGTTTTCAATTTTTTTTTTCAATTTTTTTTTTTTTTTTTGCCTGTATAAGCCTTTCTCGGTGGGGAGGGGAGCTCTGGGCCAGAGCTAGCGCTACGAGGAGGAAGAGGAAGGAGCCAAACGACGTCTGTCCATAAGGGTGTAGATAAAAGGCATTGTGCAGCCCCAGCTTTCACCCTGGATGAGGTCCTTCCTGGTCAAGCAGGTTGGGAAACATCTGGCAAAGGGTTCTGGCTTGCTTCGAGGTGGCCACGCGCTCCTTGCAGGCTCCATCGCTAGGTGGACATCCCAGCCACCAGCACTGGCGTCTCCCCCTGCATCATCTCCGTCTCCGAGGCCTGTGGAGGTGGGAGGGATCGTCTGAGGCTGGCTCCCACGCAGAGCTAGCTTGGAGGAGAGCATCGGGGTGAGGACGCTGTGTGTTACCCAGCCCTGGAGCAGGCGGAGAGGTCACGGCATCGCGTGCTGGCTTGCTAGCCTGTTGCCTGCAAGCTCTTCGATATTTATAAGAAAGAGAAATCTAGTTAGTGGTGCTCAAATTGCCGTACTGTAAAGCTGGTCTTTCAATCAGGCTCTTTACGAGAATTATGGACCGCAGAGGAATTTCTTGCTTGTGGCATCAAGCTGGCGCAAGATGAGTTGTCACCGCCTGCGGGTTGCCGTGGCGTGGAAGTCCCCAGGCCAACGGCAAGCACAGGTGTCCCCCTTCGAAACCCTGCCGGCCTGCTCTCCTCAGCATGTCTTCCTTCCCTATGCGAGGTGTTTCTCCTCTCTGCGGATTTGGTAGATGAAAACACAAGCCAGCAGTGTGCCAAATTAGCAAACCACATCTGGGTGTGTTTGGCACCCTGCCCTGAATTAGTTCCCAGCGTGGCCTAAGGGGATCGGTCTCCGGTGTCCCCTTTCTGCTAATCCCAACGAGATCTGTTTTTTTTAGGGACTCTCAGGAGTTTGCAGCGTTGCCATCGGGGAGCTCAGTTGGGCCTTGAGACCAAAAGGCAGGCTGGCAGGTTGCTCTGCAGCAACCGTGGATGGAGCAGTGGGGTGTCGCGTGAGGCTGAGGTTTCTTGGGAGAACAGTCCAGAATAGTGCCTTAACAATTTGAATAAATGTCTGAGGGGCGGGTGTTTGCTAGGAGTTGTCACTTTCTCGAACTCTGTAAACTGGATCTCATTGCAAGGATTAGAGCTGAAGCGAGACAGATTTTGGTCTCATCCGATAGCATCCTTCCTCAAACTTTTTGCCACATCAGAAAAGCCCATGTGGCTCTCCCAAGCTTTTTTTCCCCATCAGCATTGTGGCGTTGGCAGCCAGCACTCTCCTCGGGGTGCTTTGGCCAGCGTAGGGTGTTTCTGGTCCAGCGAGCACCTTTGGGAGACCAGAGGAGCCCAGCTTGCCTGGGCCTTGCGGAAGAGCACTGGGATTGATTTGGTGAAGCCTCACAGCGTTGACCAGCACCTCTGTGGCCAAGCTGTACTTGCACGCCCCTCTTCCTGTACGCTGAATGATGGTGAAGTTGAGCTGGTCTTTGACTTCACTTATTCAGGCTTGCTTCATGCAGGCAGGAGAGGAGTGGAGGAACTGTGGTCTCAGCTGTCTGTCACCTACCCTGGCTGGTGAGGAAAGTCCAGGAAGATTTTGCTGTTTTTTTTTTTTTTTTTTTTGCTTGGATGCTGTGATATAAGCTGGTTCTCTTGCTGCTCTGATTTGCGCCGAGGCATTCATGCATTGGTCTAGCCCCAGCTGTGTAGTGTCACTGCAGTTGCCCTCACGAGTACATGCCCAAGGATGTGTACCCCTCATAGCCGGGCAGTTTGGGACCATTGTAGGAGCTGCAGAGCATCCTGGCCACGGGCAGAGACAGGTGCCAACCAAGACATGTGGGATACTTTGCAGCCAATGCATTGCTCCTAGGGCCAGTCCTGCAGTGAGACTGGTAGGAAAGCAAAGTTGATGCACATGGACGTGGGCCAGGTAGCTGATGAGACAGTGAGCAGTGCTGTTGGTGTAGGTAAGACAGGAGTGAGGTCACTGAGCAGGCTGCTGAAGCTGGTTCGTATTTGCACCTTGGTGTAGGTGACAGGCAATATCAGGGCGCTGGGGACTGTGAACTGCATGTGGCCCTGCAAGAAGTCTTGATGTTTCATCTCAACGGATCAAGTCAGCAAAGCACTCGGGCACCCTTTAACTTGCAGAGCCCAGCACAGGGTTGTATCTCTGCAGAGCCAGGAGGATTTAGCCACATGCTCAAGTGCTTTGCTGAAGGAGGACATACAGGAGTGTGAGGCTGAATGAGATGGGACTGTCGGCTGTTCCTGTGAGCGCTGTTTGAAGTGACAGGTTAGGTGACTGGTGTCTACTCCTGCTTAGTGCCCTGAGTGGCAGCCCTCCTGCCTGACATCCTCTGGAAGGCTGGCTGCTCTTGAGGATGTTAGCATTTGATAGGAACAATTTGGTTTTCATCCTTATTAGTCCCTCATGTTGGCTGGGATCCTCTGGAGCCCTGGTGTTGCAATAGTCTCCGAACAACTGAGTTCACCCTCATTCACATCCACTTTATGTGAAGGCAGAAAGCTATGGCTGAGCTGCTTTGAGCTATTTTACCTTCTCAAATGGGTCTCAAATGTTCTTCCACTGTCCTCCTTCTGTGCAATTCCTGGGATTTATCAGTGCAATGCTTTTTGAAACACACTCCTTTGAGGGACTTGGGCACTCAACTGTCAGAGCTGGTGGCTTCCTGGAGGGAGTAGGACCCAGCCTGGGAGGTGGTTGCTTTGGAGGAGCGCTCAGTGATACCATCAGAAGTGCTGGAGGGCTTCGATAGAGCTGTTTGTGTCATCTCCTCCACTGCCTCCCAGGCCCCATGCAGTGGGACTCCCTTGCATTTCTTTCCCCTCGCCCTCCTAGGCTTTGAGACCATATTGGAGCTGTACACTGCAAGGAAAGCTAACCTTGTCTGTATGGTCTTAAGTTTTGTGACGAGACTATCGGCTTGCCCAGCTGGTAAGCTTGGCCTTCTCCCCTTGGCAGTAAATCCCCGCACCAACATGTACCCCCTCAGTAAGAGATTGATTTCCCTGTCCCCAGCCCTTCCTGTCTCCATAAGGACCAATCCTACTTGGACAACATCACGAAATGAGAGATCCTTCTCGAGGCTAATGACGTCACGTTCACTTCAGAGAGGAGAAGTGGGATGGGAGCACTTGCTGGTACTCATCCTGCAGCAGCTTGGCTTCACCACATGCACAGAAAGCCCAGTGACTGATTTTAGCCACCTCTAATCATCTTTGAGACCCTGCCCGGAGAGCTGCTTGGAGACATTGAGATGTGACCATGCACACAGCACTTTGGAGAACCAGATCCCTGCTGCTCCCTCCCCTACTCCAAGGCCTGGGCAGCTCCTGAAGCCTTACATGGCCTTTGAATCCTTTTGTCTACACCCTTATTCAGTCCCTATGTGTCTCTTGATGTCTGTTTTTTGTTAGAGTATTAAGACCTGAAAGGAGTCACTCTGGCAATGTCTCGGCCCAGATCCATCCCAGGTCAGCCCCATTGGCACCTGTTGAGTTAGACAGGGTGGGAGGCGGGGAAATTGGGTCCGTTGTTTTCAAGCTTTTTATTTTATTTTTTTTTAACTCTTGCACCTTAATCTCTCACATCCCTTCTTCAACAGACCATGAGGGTGGAGAGGGGCTTAATTTCCATTACGCAGTCAATGAATACTCTGCAAAGCAACATTCAGCTGACAACTCTGCCAAGGCAGTTTTTAAAAAGTTTTTTTTTTTTTTTTTTTTTCCTCTTTGATTGAACTCTGGGGAGGGAGGGAGTCACGCGTGGGGGTTGTTTTTCTTTTATATATCCCAGGAGCCTGGTAGCACAGACCAGTTGGCCTCATAATGTCCATGAGGCACTGCTGGCCCTTCGGACCACAGCCATAATCCGAGTGCGTTGAGAAGGTGATGGATGGACGTCGGGTGGAAACGGCTGTGACAGTGCAATAGAGATTAGCATCCGCTGCTAGACAACTCCACTGATTTAACTCTTGGTTTGCCAGAAGTCGAGAGGGAAGGACGGACAGACAGACGCCCTTGTTTCACACGGACGGAGACAGCTTCCCTGCACAGCCCTGCCTAGTGACACGTAACCATGATGGAGCTGGGTAGAACTTAAAAAGGAGGAAAATGAAAAGGAAAAAAATAGATAAGAACAACAACCTCAATAGCATGGAACTTGAAGGAAATGAAACCCCAAGCACTTGCCTCAAAACTAGTTTCTAATGCCTGATGTTCGGCTCTGTATTATTTCCCGGCATTCGGTATCGATTGCCCAAACATGCCAAGTTAAGAGTGTATCGGTGGCTCTACTAGTGTGAACAAACTAAATGAAGCACTTTATTCTGTATAGATAAGGGAAGGCGGAGAGGGGAGGGGAAGCTTGGATGCTTTAAGGAAGCGTCTTAAGTAATGTTCTAGGAAATGTATTATTATTATTATTATTATTATTACTTTTTTTTTTATGATCATGTGTAATCAATATATGTTTATCTTTAACTCCAAGTACAGCAGTTACTCTCTTTGGGACAGTGTGATGAAGGGGGGGGGTGAGACGGCCAGGTTAGTCCATCGCAGGGGAGCCTCTGGGGAAAGGCATTGCCTTACCGCAGCAGCGTGACAGTCTTGCTTCATCGAGGGCCCTGTTGGCGCATGTCCTGGAGGTCCCAAGAGGTGAATCAACGCTGCCTTCAGGGCACAGCTCACAGATGGCCTCAGCACCGGAGCTGAGATGGCCAGTCCCCAGCACATCTCCATCCTGAGCTGGCTTTTGCCTGGGGGTGCCGGCGCCGCTCTCTGAGCCGCTGGCGAGTGAGATGAGCCACAGCGGGCTGTGTCTGTGGGTCTCTGGAGGCTATGTCCTCAGCCACACTTTGAAACCTGCTTTTGGCCTCTCGCCAAGGCACGTCAGGGGTCGCTGAGCTCTGAAACTGGTGAGAGGTCGGAATTAGGCCTTTATGCTGCCTTCTCCCAGTCAGGAAGTGTTATGACTGTTACCAAAGAGGTTGCAAGTGGAAGGACTGAATCAATAAACAATTTGTCTTTTATAAAAGAAAACCTAAAGCTCCACTGCTTTCTTTGTTACCTTGCTTTTTTAAAAAATACTCTTTTCAGGCAATTGCATGGGAAATAACAGCCCAGCAGCATGGGCCTCCTAGGGCATCTTCCCAGGGCCATTTTTCATCCACATAGCCTTTGTGTTGGTTTTGGTGGGAGTTGCATGTGTGTGAACCAGCTGGCCAGCAAAAAACCCCATCATTTCTGGGAAGGGTGATTCTCGGGTGAAGGAAGGGGCTCTGGGATTACAGCCCCAGGGACACTGCGGGAGGTGAGGGCTGAGTGTGCCTGATGCTGCCTGCTCCACACTTCTGCATGTGATTTGGGGAGCTACTCAGTGGGTCTCCCCAAGCTCTTTTGCAGGCAGTGGAGAGCTCGCGGAGCCCATCTGAAAGAACCCGGCTTCTTTATTGACTTCAAAAGGAGCTGTGGGATACTTGCCAGCTAATGTCAGCACCTATATGAGGAACCTAGCGGAAGAAGGGGTGGGTTTCCCCCACCCTTGGGATGTACCTGCTCATTTGCAGCTGGCATTGCCCAGAGAAAATTCCTGTGGGACCTGCACTGGAGCAAGAGGTGCTTCTTGCCTGCGATGATATAACCCTGCATCTGGGACTGTGCAGCTGGCGTTGTGTGTGCTGCGGCTGGGAAATGCCAGGCAGCAGTGAGGAGCAGTGCCTCGCTGAATATCCATGCAGGCTTTTCTTACCTGAGATCGCCTTTGGATTGACGCAACCACTTGGCGTTTGGCAAGAAGGTGGTGAACATCTGTGGGCAAACCTGTGCTTGGTGATGTGCAACTTGTCTGCCGCTGTGGCCAGAACCACAGTAGAGGAGGTTGAAATGACACCCATTCGCCAGCCTTTTTAAGAGGGATCCCTGCTGAGGATTACTGATTTCTGTCCTATGAGGGTCCAACTAATCGCAGGAGGTTGTGCGAGACCTGTCCACTAGGTCTCAGCTGTATCTGGCAGAGATAAACAGAAGGAGGACTTGAAAAATGAAAGAAAGAAAAAAGGTTCCCGAAGGCAAAGGAGGTCCTTCCCATGATGTCACTAGCCCACGCTTGTGCTGGAAGCAGCAGGGAAGAGCTTTAGGCTTAACAAGGAGCATCACCCCTGCTGACCTGCTACAGCAGGTATTGGTAGGAATTTTAACCTTGAGAGGTTTCTGTTGGCCGTTTAATGGCGCTTCAAGGTAGTACTCCAGAAAAGGCATTGGTTTTTCCAATCCCTGGGCAGGAGGTGGTTTTGATTCTATGCATGGAAATTTTTCATTTCTGCCACAAGCTATTGTACGTTTGGTAGTTTCATCTCCAGTTGGCCTGGGAGTCGTCAGTTCCCGGCAGCACTGAAGGGAACATCACATTTCTGCAGTGTGTTTTCACAGATTTGGTCATTTTGAAGGGTTCTTTTTAAGCTAGCCTATCTCAGTCAGCCAGTTCCCTTGGGTTTATTTTTCTTGTTAAAAATGTTTTGGTACCATTTAGATTTGATTGTCCTCTAAGTGATTGCCCTATAACTTTTTTTTTTTTTAATCCTTAAAATGAAACCGGGACGAGATTCTTCTTCCTTTACTTATGCCTGATAGTCTCCTCTTCCAGACGTGGTTTAGTTTCTCCAGGGTTGTATTTTGAAGAGGACAACCAGATCAGCCAGCTGTTGTGATTTTTTGATAAAATCAGAAGTTTCATGGTGCTTTCGGGGTGTTATTTTGGAAGGTTTGTGTTTGTTTATTTTTATTATTGATTACCACCCTTGTTCCCAGTATCAGGAGCTCATGGTGGTATGAGGCTTGCTTTCCTCTTCCTAGGTAAGCTGCTAATCCTCGTATCTGAAGAGAAAAGCTTCAAGGATGTCACTGCTAAGGTTAAGGACCAAAAGAGGGAAAAAGAAGATGAAAAGCTGTGGCCAAGTGTGTGGCAGTTAGCCGGTGGAGGGGCCTGCAAGGCTGCATGGGTGGATGGAGACACAGGGGGGATGGAGACAGTGGCTCTGGCTTGCAAACAGCTCAGTAGAGCAGAAGTGAGAGCGGTGGAGGGGAGGGGGCTTATTGCCATGCTTCTCTGTTAGCTTTTTCAGGCAAAAGACTCTTAAGGGGTTTGGAGAGAAGCGAAGAAACAACATGTCCAAGGTGTTCCATGAGGACACCACTCTCCCATGAGGCCCCTTCCTCACTGCCACTTTCTAATCCTCCTTTTGCTCGCTCCTTGCAGCTGGTTGCTGTGGACAGGCGGTTACGGCTCTATGAATACACATACACAGAGAACTTCTTTTCCCATATTTTAATAATTTATTTTTAAATAAACCACTGGTCAGACAGCATTTTATCAAGAGTTTTTCACTCGAACAGATCTCTGTCCTGCTGCCAGTAAGGCTGTGTTTCTATCAAAACATCGTTATGAATAACTTACTTACTTAAAAAAAAATCCTCAGTAGGAAACTGTCTTTGAACCAAACACATTTGACGGCTCCATGTACTTTGCAAACTAGGATATTCTTAAAAAAAATTAAAAATAAGTGAGACAACATAAATATAAAACCTTTCCCTGAAAAGCAGCATTTATCCAGCCAGAGGTGAGGACATTGCAGTCTATGACTGAAGGTAGAAAGGGTGCAGTTCTGCTTGATCAACCCAAAAGGACGGCGATGACCACATACAGCCCTCCCTCCCCGTCTGCCCCTTACCTACCCAACTGCTGGCACAGCTCTTCCCCTCGAGCAGATCTTAGCTCCTGGAGTCTCTTCAGTCCAAAGACTAGGTGGAGACAAAGGAACTAAAACTCTTTTCTTTGCATCCAAACGTCCAAGGTTGGATGGACCAACCTCTCCTGTCCATGCGCACAGGCTCTTTTCTTTCACTGTTTCACCCTAACTGTCCTCACTCTAGAGATCATCAAAGTCCCCCAAGTCTGACCCGCACCACTTGCCTTTGCCTCTGCTCTCCTCTTCCTCTCAGCAGGGGGGGTCTAGCACCACGCTGTGGGGAGGTCTGCTCATGGCTACCTTAGGTTGGGAAATGCATTTGAGACCTCCACCCCCCCTTGCCTGAGGGAACTTCAGCTTAGCCCCTTGAGAGCCACTTTCTGCCTCCATGTGTGGTTAGGGAGATTCAGGAGTGGTTGAGAAGGTAGAGAAGAAGCTGGAGCAAGAAGTGGAACAAGAATATAGATTTTTTTTTGTTGTCCTCTCTACTGAGACTGGAGGAGGTCTTTGCTCCATGCTCATTAGTCTATTCCAGCTCCTTGCAGTCTCCAGATCCTTCCTCTAGTTATACTGTGAGCAACTTCAAGTTCCCATAAGGCTTCAAGATTTTTTCCCCTTTCCTATTTGATGAGGTAAAATGGTAACAATCACAGATGCAATGTTCTACACCGTATTCAGAGAAACCCTGCCACATCTCTGTGCTGACACATGTGATCTCAGCTCTGCCCCCCCCACCCCACCACTCCCTTCTTGCCCCAGAGCCCCGTGGAAAAAAATATATCGCGCCTCTTTACATCTTTGTTAGCCGCAAAACATTGAGGCGCACAGGAAGGAAAGTGGCACCGGAAGCGTACTGGATCTCTCGGAGGACCCCTTCCCACTTCTTCTGTTCTTCATCGTATCTGAGGAGAGACAAACAGAAAACTACAGTGAGCAAAGCTGCTCATCTTCCCCATTCAGGTCCTCCTTGCAGCAGCTGGAGCTTCTGGTGCATGGCATGACATCCCACAGACATAATTTGTCCACAAGATATCTGTTGGAGCAGCACAGAGAGCTGCAGTTCAGCTGTGCTCTGGTTTGCTAGCACGGGTATAGGATACCAGGTAGTCGTCTCTCAGGGGAGGGTATATTTTTCCACCTGGGAAATGAGTTGATGCCACCAAAAGTCAACATCCGTGGTGAATGCCAGCAGCCCAGTAGATGCCTGCTGAGGGTGCTCTAGAGCCACAGAAGTGAAGGAAAGGGGCCCCTAACCCTATATTAGCAGCTGTCAAAAAGTGGCTTTTGACCATTTGCCTAGTCCCACTTAGGATAATTCGATTTCTAGTTTGAGCGATGACTTTTTCCAGGAAGAACAAGCTTTGCGCTAGCACTGCTTTAAGCCAAAGGGGAGGTCTAGAACGAGCTCTGGACAAAATGTCAACTCAGGAAAACACTAGAGTCAGATTTACCCAGTTACATTCCTGTGTCAGGCCAGGAGAGATCACTGAATCAGCTAATGTGATCTCCAGCACATCACAGAGCAAATGTTTCACCCAAAGACACTGCACTGAGCCTGTGGCTTTGTGCTGGGAAAAAAAGCACTTGGCTTTATACTAAAGGCATCAAGACAGAGAGAAACTATCTGTTCCTTTGGTGGCTTTCACTGAGTAACTTTCCTCCCATCTCCTGTGTTCTCAGGGATAGGCACCGGGAAGGTCTTCACCTCCAAACGTCATTCAGCTCAGTTGGCACCAGTTCTCCTGACTCCGTCTCCACCGTGGCGAATCCACCAAGCAGGTAAAGTATCCCAGACAAGCTCACCAGGCTGACCGAGCTGCGCTCCTGAGGGAAGTCTGTGAAGGTGTCCCACCTGCCACATCGAGAGATCAGACATGTTAGGGCAACCTGCCTACCCCAGTACAGAGGCTGGATGGAGAAACCGAATTAACCAGTGATAGATCAGACGGGCTGTGGTCATTCTTTTGCTGTTGCTAGAGATAGCTATTTCCATCATCATAGTTCAGCCTCATTTTGCAAAGAACAGATTATCTGTGAAGCACACCTAGCATGGACTAGGAGCAGCTAAGCACTGCAATGCAGCCTCATGGCCCATCCCGAGGCAGGAACACATCTATCATGTCGGGTGATGCTGCTGAGAGGAAGCTACGGCCCTGCAGTGTACCCAGGGTCTGCACCGTTTGGTGGAACTGCTTTGAATGTGAGCCTGATGCTATGCCCAGCCCAACAGCAGGCCACTTGTGATGTCCAGTGGTCCGAGGAATACAGACTGAAAAGAACTGGTATTGGGAGTTGCAAGCAAACTCCACAGTACTTGGGGGCAGGTTGTTTAATGTATGTTTAATGTAAAGCCTACAGAGGCTCCTTGTGTAACTGCACCCCAAAGGTATGTGCTGGTACATACTTGTTGGATGCAATGTCATACACTTCCACTGAGTTCGTCAAGCCAGAGTCGGTCACACCAGCCGCCACGTAGATTTTGTCATTGTGCACAGTTGCTCCAAACAAGGAACGGGCAATTTTCATAGGAGCCAGCTCCTTCCACTCAAACTTATTCGGGTTGTAGACACACATCTTCTTCAGACACTTCCTACAGAAAGATAAGAGAGAAAATGACCTTCAATTGCCTGCCGAGTGGTGTCTTTGTGCTGCAGGAGTTTGGGGCTGTCAGCTGGGAAGAACGTGGGGGTCTCTAGAAAGCATTTTGCTACCCTCCACACTGGAACTAGTGCATTTGCTTGGGTGCCTGGAGACATCATTTGTGTGCAGCACATCCCCTCCCCTGTGCCTGCTTTGGATAGGAATACTGAAAGCTCAACATTGTGGTAACACAACTGGGTCAGGGCCTGTCTAGCTAACTGCCTATCCGAGACCTTGCGTGCAGCCTTCCAGACAGTATTCAAGTGAGTTGCTGACTCAGCTTGATGCTGCAAAATGTCAACAGTAAAGTCCCTATTCCCTGAGATGGCAATGTAAGGTATGCCTGTGTGCGTGAATATATGCACGCACGCACACTTCTCAGACCATAATCCTCTCAGACGAGGGTCTATCTTTGCTGGATTATGCCGTATTTGCTCTGCAAACAGGCATACCTCTGTCCTGCAAAGCAATCACTACAACGCTCCTTAAGAATGGCAGTTTCTGTTGAGCCACCATCTCCTGCCAGAAATCGATGGATAGCACGACTAGGGTCAAGTCTGGTGAGGTTTTTCACTGCTATTGCAAATATACCGGCTGGGTTTTGCTTCTAGGCCCACGCTGTTCCATGGCAGGTCTCCAGGCTTGAAGACAGGAAAGTCCCAATCTGGAGGGGGTTCTCACACTTCAGCACCTCTCCTAATCTGTGTGAATTTACTTATTGTGAGCAAAGGAGGTGATATTCTGGCTCTCTGGTAGTGGCAGTGCCATCTCTCTGACGTCAGTTGCGCTTCGTAGGGCTCCTAAGAGCTTGGGGAAGAGCTGCAGCACTATAGCAGAGCTGAGAGGCGAAGATGCCACATCTTACACCCCATGCAAACCTCCTTCACCCATTTGCTCTCTCTACCCCATAGCCTTCAGGTTAGGTAGGCACGGGCTCCCACTACTTTGGGGGATGACATCCTCGGTTTCCCTGGGTTTCGCTTGCTTTTTGACTTACTTGTCACTTCCTTTGCCGCCAATGACGTAGACAAGGTCCTTGTGTGATACTACTGCATGGCCATAGACTGCATAGGGAAGAGAGTCAGCTTCACCCCATTTGAAGGACCTGGATCAGGAAAAGATGGGATGCAAAAGGATTTGTAGCTTGTCGGGTAGGACTGAGAGTACACAGCACTTTCAAGACTGAAAGATGAGTGCAGATCCTAGCAAACTGAAAACACAGTCTTAAAAATACCAGGTTTTCCAGTGAGATAATATTCAACCAGTAAATATTGCGGTACTAAAAAAAAAAAAGGAAAAATAAAATTATATGCAGGATGCTTATGGTAATACTCATTCTTTTCTGCAGCATCCTTTGCGTTTGATCTTTGTGCATACACACCACCTCTTTTCTCAGGGCCTTACCTCATTTACAAGCACTAGCCATCAGATGCAAACGAGACAGAGACTTCTGCATTATGTATAAAAGAAATAAAAGGGGGATTGAGGGATACAAGATCCTGATGGCACATTTACTTCTTGGCTGTTGCCTTCAGTTTTGAGGTGCTTTGGTTTGCCAGCACTCAGCAAGGAGGCACTGGGGGATATGTCCATATGATGCAGTGCAGCGCTGTGCTGAAACCTCTGAGCCAGCTCCCACAGCAAGGCAGGTCAGCCGAGCAGACAGTGCAGCTATAAGACTTTGGAGACCCAGACCAGTATCTCTGATCTTTCAGCCCCACTGATCTTTCATGGCAGAGTCTCCAGGTCCGTCCTCCAGTGGGGCTTTGGCACACTTAAGAATCAAGCCTTTATTTTTACTTCTTAATTTGTTTGAGCTGCGTAGCCAAAAATGGAGGCCTCTGAAATTTGGGTGTGTTCATGGTGATCTGGACCTAAGGGAAGGCTCATCACACCTAAATTAATCAGTTAGGTTCAGTGGGGAGATATGCAGGCCTAAATAAAATGCATGATCCCATAGATCAGCAGTTTGCCCTCTCCACGGCTCGTTACAGTTGAAATCTTCACCTAAAACAAGGAGTGGTGCTGATCGTTATCTCTGCCAGCTTCAGCCCTGTATTCAAACCACCCTCTGCACACTTCGAGCAAGAGAAATGCCATTCCTCAGAGGGTTTGCCGAGGCAGATAAATGCCACGTTCTGTGGGAATGGAAGCTGGTTTCAAATCTCTGCCTATAAAACAGACTTTGCAGCACACACATCTAAATATAAACTGAGCAAAGGCTTGTTAACGCTTACTGCTCCGGCTTTTTTGGGGCAGGCAGGAACAGTCTTTTGGAGATCTCTGCCTTGTGTAAGCAGAACTGGATGGTACCTTTTAATAAAGCTCACGGCATAGCGTGGTTCAGAGCCCTTTATACAAAAATAATCTGATATTAAGCCTCCAGATGATTATTACAAGGCTGTGCAGTGCTTTATTGCAATAGGTCAACTGGGATAGTCTGGACAGATGCATAGTTTTGTAGGACTGAGCAAAGTTCATTAGCAGGAAAAAGAGTAGCCACATCTTGCAAGGAAGCAGAAGAGCCCCCTCTTCCCAGCCCATTTCAGTGCCAGATCTGAGTACTTTCAAACCACGCTTTCCTGACCAAACACGCTCCCAGTGCTCCTAGACTACAGTGAAGGTCGCTGAACCTCGAGCCGATGGGCATGTGACAATGAAGAGCAGAAGGAAAAATTCCCCTTGCTCATCTATATGTGTCCCATGTGAGCATCTTCAAAGTTCAGTCCTGATAACATAATATCCCCATTATGACTTCCATCCCCAGTAGCTTCAATTGCAATAAACCAAGCAGCTGGATAGAGATCGCTCAGAGCCCCAAGGTACGTCTTGAAATAATCCCTGTGGTCTCTGTGTTTAGATCTGAACTTCAAGCCCTGTCTCCAAAACTGTTTGGTCCCTGCAGAGACAGAGTCATTTGCAAGCCAGCTGCTTCTCTTTCTCCTATAAAACATCTCCCTTCCCGCACTCGCGCACACACACTTACTGCCGGTCGTAACACAAGACAGAGTCCAAGGTCTTTTCTCCTTCTTTCAGTTCTTTCCCTCCGACCACAAAAATGGAGTTTTCTGCCTCTCCTAGGCCGAAAAGGCAGCGAGGAGAGGGCAGGGGGGGCATCCCCAGCCAGTCTGAGTCCAGGTGGTCATACTGAAAGGAAGACACAGCCGTTAGCGTGTAAAAGAGGATAGGTTCGCCCTGCCTGATTGCTTAGCTTAAAGCAGGGTTCGGGGCAATGAGCAGAGTCCATTCCCATGTCGAGCTTGGTCACTCCTGGTGGGCGTACTCTGCAGGACCGTTCTCTGCCTGCACCTTACCTGTTGCTGCTGCAGCTGGTGCAGGATGGGGTCTTAGTGCAAATCCAAGTCATATATCATCAGACATTTATCTCACCAGAAGGTGTAAGAGCAGAATTGCTCCTGCAGGCACATGTTCTGCTCTGTACACGAAAGGCTAGACTAGGAAAAAGTTTGGTCGTCTCGGGATGCAAGGGTCTCACCTTGTACTTATAACAGAGAGTTCCTGAGGCTGGAGGAGCTGAGATACTGTAGCCTTAGAAATTTTATCCAGACCTCTCCAGCTGTAAGACATGTCACAGGATTTCATCCTGATATTTTTCATCTCTGCGAGGTAGCAGCCTGCTGGCTGCAATGCCGCTAACATAGCTCACTCCCCTGACCAAGCTGAGAGTAAAATGGCTTCTTCTTCCAGCAATTCTTCTCCTTCCTGGCAAATGATCATGATCATGCTTCTCATGAAATTTGAAACCATGGTGCTTATCTCTGCTTTCTTCTGTCTGTTTACTGCCCTATTGGTGAATTGAAGCAGTGATTTGGGAATAAAATGTCCTAATTAATTGTTTCTGCTGAGCCAGAGGAGGGACTACAAGTTACTGATTTGGTCCCATCGTCTCACCTCAGGGTGTATGACAGTTTGTGAGATGAAATGTGTCTGCAGAAAAGCTAATTACACAATATCTGCCTATATACATGGTACAGTGAAACTGAGGCGGTACTACAAAGATGGCAGCTCTTCATGCTGGCCAGAGTGTCCTGTTAGCCACATCTGATGGACAGGAAGACTGATCCATGCAAAGCTAGTAGATCAGATGGCTAAACCTCAGCTAATGCTAGAGGGATAATGCCTGGTATATCTGAGAGCAGAGCCCTCCATTGGCACCAAGAATTAAAAGGCTCATTTGGAAAGATCAGAGTTGATGATAAGCCCTGTTGCGCGTTATGGGCAAGTTTGTCCTGTTGCCTAGAGCTCTGGATGGACAAGAGCCAGGTTTAGCCCTTGCTCTGTCATGACTATATGTGTGAGCCTCAAGTGTGGGAGTCCAGACAAGCCCTGCTGTGGAGGAAGGGGCAGTTCTGAGATGAGATGCAAGTAAGTACTTGGACATCTGTAGATCAAGGCATAGCCTTACCTCCCACCAGAGAGAAATGTGAAAGATTATGAGGCTGCACGGGACTAGGGACTCTCTGGGCACCTCAGCTTGATGGAAACTGTAGAATGGGGCAACATTTTTAGTCCAGAGGGTCAGTGGAGGAGTGGGTTAAGTCTGGGTGACCTACTGCAGCCAGCTTGGTGGGACTCTGCAAGAGGAAGTTGTGATGGAGCATTGCCTGAAGCACTGTTTGTTGTCAGCTGGGGCCAAAGAGCTTCCAATTTGCTGGGTTGTCCCCAGACACTTGGCCTCGGTTGGGTGCCTGTGGTTATTGTCTCTTTGTAATTTGTGGTGCGCATACATGTTATTTATAGCAGAGGACTGAACGGCTCAGTCACTGGGATAGTTCCAGCTTCTTGATGGATTTAGCATTGTTTTCAAGGCATAAATTTTAGAAGTGACAAATGAAGGATAGCCTATTCCATCTGAAATGTCAATGGAATCATTTTGTTCCTGCCAAAATTTGCAAGACCTCTGGGATTTATCAGAATTTATATATATCGGTGCCTGTCTTTAAGTCTAAACTATCCCTGACCCAACTCGCTGTTGCTCTGAAATCTGTCAGGACAGACAGAGACTCAGAAGGTATAAGATGCTGCTGCACTGACATGATGAATCAAGGGTTTATCATAGCACTGCCTCTCTACGTCTGTGTGAAGTTTCAGCTGAAAAAGGCTCAAAAGAGCTTTTACTCATAAGGGAACAGTGAGCTACATGATGAAATTGATAGCAATAAATCACATCTTTGCAATCTGACAGCACCTTCCAGCCCTGGGACTTGTCTGCAGCTCCCAAACACGAGTACATCAGCAAGCTGTAGAAGGACCACTGTCTCCTTCTTACGGGGAAGGAGCTAAAAATGACCACGAGATGCTCCAAGCTTCACTTTCACTGAGTCGGTGGGAAATTGGGAGCGGAATATAGAAATATTGCTGTTTGCAATTTAGAATCACAGAATAATTTAGATTGAAGGGACTTCTGAAGGTCTCTGGTCTACCCTCCCGCTCAAAGCAGGGACAATTTTGAAGTTAGAGCAAATTGCTCAGGGCTTTGTCCGGTCACATGCTGCATGTCTCCAAGGACAGAGGTCTTGCAGCCTCTCTGGACCCCATTCAAGTACTGCATCGCTTCTGTTGTGAAAGTTTTCTTTATAGCTAACTGAAATTTCTCTTACTGCAACTGCTGGCCGTTGCCACTTGTCCTTTCTGTGTGCCTCTGCAAGAAAGTCTGGACCTGGCTTCTCTATACCCTTCCATTAGGTAGCTGCAGACACCAACGAAGTCTTCTCTTCCCCTTTTCTTCTCCAGGTTGAACAGACCCAGCTCTCAGCCTCTCCCTGTCCATATCATTCTCCAGCCCTGACCATCTTGGTGGCCTCTGCTGGACTTGCTCCAGTAACTCAACATCTTTCTTGCACTGAGAGGCTTGAGTCTGGACACAGCATCCAGATGTGGTCTCACAAGTGCCTGTTCAAAGGGAAGAAATCACTTCCAATGACCTTCTTGCTGCACTTCTGCTAATAGAGTCAAGGCTGCAGTAAGGCCGGGCAGCTGCTGCATTGTAAGGCTATGCTTAAGGCAGAAGGGTCCTGGAGGTGAGACGGGTCCTCAGTTCCCATGTGAGGTGAGCCAGAGCAGCTGGTAGCAGTGCTGTTCCCTTCCCTATATAGTATGCTAAAAGGTGGCTAATTGGTGTAGCTGCTAATTGCAGAGAAAAGCCCTCGGGGAAGGGGAAGGAAGACAGGCAAGTACATATGCATTACCTTGCTGGGCCAGCAACTGACGGGAGTATTGATCATTAGACATACGTGCCGGCTGAATACAAAGCAGCCTGTTTATCTGCTCCACGTAGCTGAGCATTGGAGCTGGCCACATCCTCTGCTGTCAAAGCTCCTCTTCAGTGCAAAGGGCTGTATGTGGAACAGCATTTCCCCTGGTGCTCCCACTCTCTTCACTCTCCATCTCACTTTCTAAGGCTGTATTTGCTTCCCGCTGGCTCCTTGTTTCACGGGTTTCACACGGGCTGTATGGGCTCCATAGCCTGACACCTGGCAGAGCGGGTATGAACCCTTTCAAGGCAAGGACAAGCACAGTCCCTGCACGCATGGTGCAGGTATATAGACCTACCCATGCGATAAAGCATTAGCCTGGAGACTAATATTATTGCTTCCTCCTAGAACAGACGTGAGCCACAGGAGAAATACAACAGGATTTCTGAGCATTGGGGGAAGAAGGGCCGATGATCTACTGGATTCTTACAGGGCTGTCAGGAAGGGTAGGTGCCTTGTGTTGGCTGTCTACTGGGAAAGTGCTCCTGGACTGCAGCCTAGGCTAGTTCAGATCTTGCTGATCTAATTATAGCTTTGATTATTGCTGAGTTAGAACAGCCACTTCTTCCTTGGGGGAATCCCAAAAGACATCCACCATGATTTTCCCCTGCACAAGATGGGAAACGGCTAAGGCAGAGACTCTGAGCTGAAAATAGCCCACGTGTTGCCTTCATCCACGGTCAAGAACGGCATTGGAAAAGGGACACGTATTGGTAGGTGAAGGACATGTTCTCATGCCTTGGAGAGTTTGCTGTGTGGCTGTAGCTGCTGTTGTTCCCTGTGCTAGCACCTGGTAAAGCCACCCCTATGTTTTGCTGGGCGTTCATACCCAGAGAACCTAATGGTCACAAAGCTGAATCAAAACATGGTTCTGCTAACCTCCAGTTACCGTGCCCTGTGGCAGCCAGGGCTGGACCAAATGCATTAACTGAACTGGACTTGTGCTCAGGATTTGGATCCGAAAGGCTTATTCCCATTACCTACCTGTTCCAGCCTTATTCCTCAATGGCTGGAAAACCCCCTCAGTGAGATCTACACTAAAAATACAGGGAGAATGATCACCTTCATTTATAATTTTCATTTTAGCATCATGTGACAATGGATATTACGGGCATCACATGGAAGCTAAAGACTAGTGATGCCCGTAATTGTCCAAAGAAATAAGGGAAAAATAAAGCTAGTACCTGTAGGAAGTAGGAACTCATGGGGTCTTCTTTGCTATCCTCATTGTAGTACAGTCCTCCGACAATGAAGATCTGGTTTTCTTTGGTCACCAGACTGATGTGGTTCTTTGGGATCTGAGCAGACAGGGAGGCAAAATAACACTCATTGGCTGTGGGATCGTAGGCCACTGCTCCACTGTCGCTCACCATGAAAATGAGGTCCTGGAGGAACATCCCAAAGCGCATTGTGTCATTTAAGATCCCTGGAAGGGCATCCTCCTCTATCTCTTCTTCCTCATCCACTGCTCCATTGACAGCATTGTCTTTTGCTTGCTTTTCACTGCTTTTCTTCACTTTCTTCTTCTTCACCACAGTGAATTTGCCTTGCTGGGCATCCTTCACGATCTGCAGTTTCTTGAGCAGCTCTGGGCTGGACTTCACCATGGCATGCTTCTCCACGTGGTCCTTGATATAGTCTTTGGGCATGAGGCGGAAGCGGATGCTTTCAAAGACAACAGGTAAGGCCTTCTGCCGGTTCTCACGGTCCTTGGTCCCTGCCCACTTCATCACCACTTCAAAGACTGTCTCCTCTTTCTCAATATTGAGGGAGTCACTGGAGATGATGGCAATGAGCTCATCTGGGGAGAGCTGGTAGAACTCCTCATCCCGGGAGACCAGTGCAAAGCGATCGCAGATGAAATCCCGAGCCGCTACAGCCAGCCGGGCACAGTCCAGCATCAACCCCAGCCTGAAGATAGCCAAACAGTTGCTGAGGCAGAGCCGCTTCTGCAGAAAGGACACACAGACAGTAAAGATGGAAGGGATCTGGAACATGTTGGCCACAGAGAAGATGTCCTGCACGTTCTGCTCTGTGATCTCCAGCTCAGAGGTGTAGATATAATGGAGGATCTTGCCCATGACATCTGGATCAACATCTTCCAAACTGACCTCCCTCTTCTTGCTCTCTTCCGTATCTGAGAGGAACATCGCCCGGAAGTACGGGCTGCAAGCTGCCAGCACCAGCCGATGGCAAGGAAACTCCTTCCCCTTGACTTTTAAGACACAGTCCAGAAACTTACTGTGGTCCAACATGTCTTTGAGTCCATCCTGGAGAAGAGTTTGCTGGTAGAGGCGCAGTTCTTCCACTTGATCAAAAGGCAGAGCCATGGTGCTGAGTAATTGCTTTTTTTCCCAGTTGTTCTTTTTTTTTCTCTCTCTCTCTCTGTTTATCTATAACTATTTATCTGTATCAATATCTGAGCCCTTGGTAAAGAAACTTACACAAAACTGAGTGCACAGTTCTCCCTTGCTTCCAGACTGTCAGAGCACTGCGAACGTGAAATGCTTGCTACTATCGCAGCTGTCTGTGTACTTCAGCTTCCAGCGTCGGGCTTTATATATAGCCACAGCATTACAAAGCTTAAGGGATCCATATTGGAGCATGTGTAAGCCGATCTCTCTTTAATATGACACATTGGACAAGTGGGAAGGGAGGGGGCCGGGGAAACAGCTGTACTACTAGCCTCGATGCATCAGGAACAGTCTGTCAGCTTATGAGTCACCGCTGAGGGAACGTGAGCTTTCCTGCCGTCCCATGAGGGGAGACGTGTGTGATCGAATGGCTCCACCGTTGCGCTTGGGAAGCAACTTCCCCTCCAGATGAATCAAAGATCTCAATCCATCTTCTGGGTCATGCATAGCAGGGCTAGGTAGGTCCTTCTCCCTAAACAGCTAAACTTAGTGCTCCAAAACTGCTAAACCTTTTGCTATTCTGAAAATAGACCACAAAGTCAAAGCTGGAGAGATGTAATAAGGGAGCACCTTATGTGGGCTTTGTGGCATCCCTGAGTCTACTCAGCTCATACCCAGGACTGGTTTTCTGCAAAGGTTTGTTCTTTATTCTCCTCTGAAATCACTTTTCAGGGAGAAGGGATCGGGAAGGGGGTGGGAAATTGAGAGAGAACTTTTTACACATGGGCGTGTGAGATGAAACCTATGCTGGAAGTTACTGAAAAGTCGCAATGAAGGTGGAGGGTCCAGCAGTCTAGGAGCAGGAGGGCTGTGTTTTGTCTGCCATCTGTGCGTGGTCCCCACGAGCATAGTCTCTGGATGCCTTATCATTAATATATCCACCTTTTCCGCCTCTTGGTGACAGATTGAACGTCTGAGGTGGAACTGAAGTAAAGGGACCCAAAGATAAGCTTCAACTCACAGATAGGGCCATCTAAACACAGGTATCTCCTGTGGAGTAGGGGTATCCTGCTAAGGTCAACTGAGATGATATAGACTTCATTCAACACCCACGTGTAAGAGTTTAGAGCCACATTAGGGCCCGTCTGGCTTCCAGCTGATGCTCCAGAAAGGCTGAAGTCTCTGGCAGGTCCTGTGTCCTGTCAGCAGGCCCACGGATGTCCAGAAAGCCCCATATGGCCTCACACTATGGATTCAGGTCCATCAGCTCCTTCTAAGCCTTAGAAATGCAGCACTCCCATACACAGTAAGTTCCTCTGCTTTTTGTGAATATAAAGTTGAAAAGAGACCTTCTCAGAGCCTCCCTTTGAACACACACTCCTGATTTTCAGGAAAAAGTCAACAGCTCATCCTCTGTTGGCTGTTAGAGATTCCACACAGAAGATTTCCTGCTGGAGACAGGTTTCCATCAGTACTGCCCACAGAGCAAGCAGCTGGTTCTTGCAATGGACACACAGCATGAGGCAGAGAATGGAAAACAGCTCTTTCCGTGGAGCTGTTGAGGAAGAAAATTCGTTTTGACAGACATAGGTGAGTGGAGTAACTATAATTATTTATACCTATTGTAAAACTTCTACATGAGTCTGTTTTATTTTATCTCCCTTATTATGGACCCTCTGGGCTGGCTGACACTCAGAGATGGCACAAATTTAATTAACAATTTAATTAAGTCTATGCAAGGGTATTAGCCGCTCTTCTTGGTGTATTTAAAGCCACATAACCCCTTGCCCTTGCATGGATATCTTTATAAAAGTGCTTTGTGCCATAATGGTTATCCACATAAGTGGGAAAGGGGAGGGAGCTATACTGGTGTGAAGCACTTTTATACTGCTGAGGTTCCAGCAGCATCTGGGGGTGTACCAATATAGCAGAGACATAATCATAGGCTGTTTTCAGAGCTCAGGTCATAAGCTCTTCTGCTGTGCTGCTCATCTGTTACAGGGAATCAGAGGACAAGCGCTGCTCTTTGAGCTGGGTCTTCCTTCAAAAATGTTCCTCTGCTCCCAGATGTCTGGGGCTGGACAGCCCCTATCCTCCCCTCTCCCTTCCCTCACTAGTTTTTGCACTTTTCCCAAATTAATCCTGTGTGGTCTTGCTATTGTTTGGGATTTTTCTCCTCTGCCTGTAATCTCCCTTGAGCCCTGGCGCTTTTTCCTTTTCTCTGTGCTGATCAGTGTGTGCTGCCCTCCGAGGCTTGCTATTGCATTCCCCATATCACGAGGTGCTGCTGCTAAAATGCAGCTGCAGCTGATCCTTTTCCAGAGAAGATCCCAACCTATGGGTGGGTCTGTGGCTTCTCCCAGGTTCGTGTCCCACCTAGGGCAAGAGCACTGCCTTAGCCACAAACCCCCTGTTGGGTCTGTCGGCTTCAGTGGCTTGACACAGCTGCTGGGCTGGCTCCAAAACTTGGGAAGAAACCCACTTTTTCCAGAGTGCTCTCTCTTCATATTTCCCATCATAAGGTGATACCACTAAATGCAGCGAGACCTATCCTGAGTCACAGCTCCCAGAATAAGTACAAAGGCCTAGGACACATATCTGCCTTCGGCCAATCCAGCTGATTGGAAACGAGGACTGGCTTGGGCTCACGTGACTATGGGTTCAACTCCATGAGCAACAGCTCACTGGTGAGGAGGGAACCACTGATCCACCTGCACGTGTAAGACTCATCACTTCAGAAACAAATGGATTTATGGAGACCAGTGCTATTTCCAGGAAAACAGGGCCTGAGAGCTGTTGTTTTGGGTCTATGTTGTCTATAAAAGGGCTTTCCCCCTCCCCTCCAAATTTCACTTTGGTGAAGACTTCTCTGGAGCAGCAGAACTCATTGAACCTTTCCATCCTTTGGCAGGTGGAAAACCCCACGGAGTAGACAACCTTGGCATGAGGTCTGCTATCATCTGTGAAATCAGCAGCTGGATTTTAGTTCCTTCATCATCGTGCCTTGCTTTGGCAGGAAAACCAAACCTCATCCAGGCAGAGAACAGCCCTATTTCTGAGTGGTCTGTGAGTGAAGCTGACTCATCCAGGACCATATAGGAAGCCACTGGCAGAGATGGGACTTCCAGGCTTCATTTGGCTCTGTAAAGTGAAACCAGACCATTCTAGAGCCTGACAGAAAAGAACCCAAATCAGCCATTAGTAGTCTGAAATGCTCCAGAGAAATGAAGGTGGGTTGTCACCCACCTAGTCTTAGCTCTCTCAGGGTGAAGGGTGTAGAGTTTAGGCTCCCTAAGAGCACAGGGGGAGACAGGCATCTCTGGGAACTGATTCACCACACCTGAATTAGACACTTGCCTTAGAGGAGAGGACTCTGGTGACGGCTGTGTCTCGCCATTCACTCTAGAGAGATCTTAAATAATGAATTCAGACTAGACAATCTTAACTATTCCCAGTGCCTTCTAATCACAGCAGAACTGGGACACTATCTTAGTGACAGCTTGTGGCAACATTCATACATGTAATCCCCAGCCTTTTGTTTCCTGCCAACACTATTTTTTACTATATCGGCTCAATACAGCTGCAGCCATCCCAAGCCCTGCCATCAGAACGATGTAGCCAGCACACATGGCCCAGACTGACCACCCCAAGACATCCCTCTATGAAACAGAGAGCTCTCTGGCTCCTGAGCACAGGCACATTCAGCTCAGCTAAAGGTGGGCCTTCCCCAGGGAAGTTTTTGCTATGGCCTGGTGGGACAGAGGGCCAAGCTGGTGGACCCAAAATCCTCTGAGCAACTCTGTGCTCTGGGGTGGCTCACACAGCCACATAGTGCTAATGGGGAGACCTTAGGGGTGCTCTCGGAGCTATTGTGCACCTCTTGTGAACCCTTCTGGGACTGGGAGGAAAAAGCTAGCATTGCTTTAGTTGCAGCTCAGCCAAAAGCTTCAGATCGTCTCAGCCATCAAATAGTTGAAGTTTGGATTTTTTTTTCTTCTTACATATTAGCTTACACATTTCCAGGCTGCATCTCAGGCATTGCATTCTTTTATCGCTTGTGTGTTTACTCTTGCTTCATTCCTCGTTTTTATTTGCGTGCGCTGGTTGGTTGTTGCCATTTTACAATCTCTGTTTATGCACAGGCAAGTCAATAGGATTTCTCGGGGCTTGGGCTGAACCCCCCCTGCGCTGGAGAGCCTCAGCCACATCTGCTTGCTGGGGGATACATTTTTCTTTCTGATGATAGCAGTGGAATCTGAGGCAATCATCAGTTTTGAGCCTCTGGCAATGGTTCTCTCTTGTGGAGGTTTTGATCAGGGTAGACTTTTCCCACAGAGGCATACGCTGAGGCTGATTGATTGTCTCTTTCTCAGGGCTGAGCAGTGAGAGACACTGCTGCAATACCACCACTTTGGCCACTGGCCCTTTGGCTTCTAATGGTGGCAGTAACCGAGCACAGTGGCAAAGGGTTAACCTCATGCAAAGTTGGGGAAAGCCTGAGTTCCCCTATGCACTGGCTCTATAACAAATTACTCGCTCAGATGGTGTCTAAGATTAGCTCCTTCTGGCAGCTCCAGGAGATGCAGCTGCTGGGTAAATTTAGATTCTTAGTGAATGGATTATTTTCTCTCCGAGAGTATCCAAGTCAGGAGGGCACTGCAGAGTCACTGGGCTTTGCCACGTGAGTCATTCACTTTGACATCAGGAGGTCGGTGACTCTGTTTCTCCTTCCAGGCAGCCAGAGACCTGAGCTGTGCCACGAAAAGACACAGAGACCTTGGTCTCAGTCTGCTGCAGCTCAGCACGTCTTCAGCTGTGCAAGGACACACATATTCAGGAGAAGAGCTGAATTTTACACTAGGAATAAACACATCATGTTTTAGCTGTTTTGATGGCACAGGGTAAATCTGAGATGATGGGGAGGCCAAGAAGCTACCAAGAAATTTGTTAATGTCCAGCAGCAGAGCCTGTGTTGAAAATGGATGTGCATGGCAGCTGAAAGGGTTTTGGGATGTGACTAGAGGTGCCACCAAGGCACAGTATCTGCCCTAACTTCCAACATTTTGGAAGGCTCCCAAAGAAAAAAAACAATACGGCTTCTACCACAAAAGCTACACGATGGCAGTCAGCTAGTGGCATTGCAATAGCATGGAAGTGGAGTCACAATAACGGTGAATACAAATCAAGCTGCAGCAAAATGCCACGTAGATGTGTCTCTATTGAAGTCAGCAATATCCTATCTTGTGTAAAAATTGGAGGTGGAACGTGCAGACCTGCGAACAGATCCTCCTGTCTCTCATCTCGGATGGCAGTGCATTACAGCAGCTAGAGATTGGCAGCAGGCCCTGTAGGTGTCCAACATTTATTTACTACATAAATAAATGACATATATAAGGGACTTCATAAAGCACTTTGGCATAGCTGAAAGCTGGCTAAGAACAATTCCTGTTTTATCCACAGGGAAACTAGAACACACCAACACCAAGCGTCCCCATCCAGGTTGCAAAGTGGTCCAGATCCTGCCCTCACCAAGCATTGACATGATTCAGACACGAGGCTGCTTATGTTACTCCAAAGTTACAAGAAACCCAGGGATATTTCACTTATCTTTCCCATGAGACACTGTGTCTCAAACGGGTACATTTAATGCACTCCATATACAGTGTCCCAAAGTCTACTTCTCAAAGTATGCTAGCAAACAATTTCCCTCTCCTACCGAGCTCCAAATCATTGTCTTTCACTCAGGGTCTTTCTCCTTTGGTTGAATGTGTGTATGTGCTCTTTCAGACGTGCAGTTACGGGCTTATGCTGCGTTCACCAAAATCAGCTGAGCAAAGGGCTGGATGGCTGGAGATAGCAAGGGCTGGTTAAAAAGTCCTCTGTTTCTCAGCAACGGGTAGGAATTCAAGCTTAAATCTTCTTCCATGGCACAGAGAAAACAGGGATGAGATTGGGTTTGAATTCCAGGGCATAAATCACAGCAAGACGGTAGCGGTGGCCACATCAGTCTCACATCCCTCGGTGGAGTGCCCTTTGGGTCTGAGTCAGGGCCTGGGGATCGAGCCGTAATGTGAGAGTCTTGCATTGTGCTTCTTCAGTGTGCTCATTCCACAGGCGACTGGTACCTGACGTTCTCTGGCTGTGAAGCAGGTATGCCTCCCACGCTTTCATTAATTAGGCATGAGAACGGCATTAAATCATTTTTTCAAGACATGTAGAACTGAAGGGACCAGTTCTGCAGAGGGTTTGAGACCGTAGCAGACATCACTCTGCGTGGCTGACAGTGGAGGGGAGATAATTACTCTTCAGTGTGCAATTCCTAGCCCTCTTTTCCTTTGCTATAAAGACTGTTTTATTTATTTATTAGCCGCATGGTAGGCATATATCGTGCTGAGCCATTTTACAGTCCTTACTACACAGTATAGATGTTGAACACTTGACAGTGGATGTTGACTATTTCTTGTAGAAAGAAATGTGTTATGCTTGGGCTGGAAATGACCTGAAGAGGGTCTGCTCAGAGCAGGCTCAGCATTAGCCAATCCCTTTCTCATAGCTGCATGCCTAGCACACCCTAAAACCTTCAGGAGTGGGACTTGGATAGTCTCTGGGAGACATAGTCTTGTGAGAGAGCCAAATGCTCTAGTGGACCAGATGTTATGGAAACCAAGGAGTGAAATCTCTAGGCCTATAATATGTCAGAGGGTCAGATAAATGATGAGGATGGCTCTTTTTGGCCTTAAAGAAATGGATCGGGAGCCTACCTCAGCAGTCTGCCACCCATGGATAGCCTGCATAACACCCCCAGATGTCTTATAGAAAATCATTACTGCAGCAAGAAAGTGCACCTTCCAGGTGCCTTACATGTGGGTGAGCTACAGTAGTTTGACTGCCAGGAGTGCTTGGAGAGCCCGTCAGTGACTGGCCTGACAAAGGTGGTTGGAGGGGAGCTGAGGTTTTGGGGTAGGCCCACCGATGTTTTTCTTTACTCTTTCTTTGCTTTGTCATGCTTCTCCTCCTCGATGGCCAGGACACGCTCACGCTCTTTGATCAGCTGCACTCCACAGTACGTGATGAACCAGATGGACAAGGTGCTGACAGGGAAACCTGGAAGACGGAGGAACATGGTCATCTCGGTATGGCTGCTTGCCTAATGGGGCCAGTTCTTCTCTAGCACTGCTTCCCCTCAGGCAGGCTCAGGAGGTCTCACAGGCTCACAGTGGCCAACCTCATTTTCCACTCTGGATCCAGCCCTAGAGCGTCACTGACATAGGAGAGAAATCCCCAGGGGCAGATTTTAGATTAAGCGGTACCTGCGTTCACCAAAACACCATGGACTGCAGTCAAAGCTGGAAAATGCTAGAATGGCTTTAAGCGTTCCCTTCCCCCCAGACAAACCTCCTTCTTCCCCCTAAATTCAGTCTGGTTGACCTTCTGGCCAGCCAACCTGCCAAAACCCCTTGTTGCTCAGTGTTACGACTTTCTGGAAGCTTTGGGCCCAGTTGACGCTGAGGGTCTCACCTGAGGCACGTCCTGCACCTAACGTGAACATAGTATGCATGCAGGGAAACACACCTATTTGTCACCTAGATAAGCAACCCAAGGGCAGGGAGCTCTCATTCCACTTAGGAAGGGTCCGATGTCTTTTGTAACCATAAGTCTGGTATCCATAGCAGAGGAGAGACGCAGACTTTGTACCTGCTAAAATAGGACCTCTGGAATGAATAATGCAACCAGGAAAAGCCAGCTAACTCAACTGGCAGGAACTTCTGACCGTCACATTATCCGTTTCCTATGCCAGCCCCTGGCCCAGAGAATGGCTGGGAGGGCATGGATCCCAGGTAGCTATTTTTACCCTGCACTCTTTGAACTGACTTCAAAATAGTGTTGCCACCTACTGATAAGAAGCGTACAGATAAGATTGTTTAGTAGGAGCCTAGCATGAACTGCTATATTAAATGATGAAGATGATCAAGTACAGATGCTAGGAAGTAGATGGGTTAGGAGGGAAGATTTGTAACTATCATCTTTGGGCTGACATGGGAATAACTGCTAAAGCAAAGGGAGATGAGACAGGCTGAGTAAATCCCTTCCTCCAGCAAGGGAACAATTTCCCAGCCAGGGAGAACTGGAGTCAGCCCACCTTGGGAGGTTGACAGCAACTTTTCCATTGCTGCAAAAAGTCTTAATCATAGAGCCCTGCCTTCCTAGGAGCTATACAAACACACCTCGAATGCAATCTGTGCCCCACAGAGCTTGCATGAGAAGGATGGGAGGAAAGAAACCACTTTCTGCATATTTTGTAGGTGGGGAAGGTGCTGCCCACAAAAATTAAGGTAGCTTGGGGGTGGTCACATACCAAGTCAATGGCCAGGCCACTCTGTACCCAAGAGAATTGGCAAGCCCCAGGCCCCAGCTCCCCTCCCATGTGTCTCCCATTAGGATGAGATCCCTCGCTGAGGAGGTCAGTAGCACCTTACCTATCAGGAGGAGTCTCTTGGTGACCAGCAGCGCGAATTCCAGGCTGTTGAGGGCCAGGATGTTGTAGAGGACGATGGCCCAGAAATTTGCTGCCCCAAAGACTGCCCTAATCCGCCGAGACATGGCCTCTGACATTTTGGCCTGTTCAGGGGAGAGGAGCAGAGAATTAGGGAAAACGGGGCTGGTTCTTACAAGGGTGACATGGTTTTAGTTTTTCTTTCCCAGAGCCTATGGAACCACAGCCAGCTATCCCTGGATAGCTTATCTGGTGAGCTGCAGGTCCTGAGACACCCCGGCAGCTCCACATGGAGTCAACTCCTGCATGGTGCAGCTCCTAGGAGGTCAAGCTAGGTCCTCAGTGAGTTGTTTGGAGACCTCAGCATGGTGCTCCCCAGCACCCCAGGCTCTGCAAGGGCTGGCTGAATGTGACCAAGATCCTCCCCAGACTTCATGAGAAAGGGTAAGGAAAGGAGATGTGCTGAACCACAGATTCATATCAGCCAAACTCCAGAAGGGATCCCAGATGGGTAGGCATAAATCAGAGCAGCCTTTAGTGTCTGTGGGATCAAGAAGCATAAGGGCAATGTAAAACTTCTGCTCTGCTCCTGGGCTGGCATTTTGAGGTCTCATGTGTAGGGCCAAGTTGTTAGACATGGTTTCATGCTAATAGTAGCGGCTGGTAACTCCTTTCTTCATCTGTTGCCTTGGGTAAGACCTCCCTCAAGGCAGATGAACGCTGCTGTTTGCTAGGTTTATTATTAGCCCTATGTGGAAATCACTCCAAGCTTCTGGTAGAAACTGTTTCTTACGAATTAAAAAAAAAAGAGCTGAAAGCTAGTGACAGCAGCAGAGTGGAATTGTCACCAGCACATAATCCTCAGGAGCAGCTGCTGAGAGCGGAGAAGGGAAGTGGTTTATAGCAATCTTCAAAGAGCACCATGAATCCCCAGGCCACTTAGTGCTGAGAATTGTGGTGCCGCAGGGAAGAAGATTTTACTAGCTGTGAGTGCTATAATCTGATTAAAAGTTCAACAAGGAGAAAAAATGGGAGGATTTTTCTTCAAAATTTTTATTCGAAAGTTGTCTTTACTGGATCAGCTTAGGTCCTCCAGACTTTTTAGGCTGAGCAGAAAAACAAAAAATATAATTATTTCTAGGAATGGGTCTCCTGACTTTTTCTTCCAACCTGTCTCCAAGGTACCCTGGTCCCAAACAGAGACTGGGCACTAAACTTCAGAGAGATTGGTAAAGAATTAATTGTAGTATCTGAACATTTCCTTTTATCACAAATTAAACCAAAAATATCCAATGCCAAAATGTTTTGCAGAACAAGAAAAAATTAATTTCCATATGGAAATACATAAACATTTTCCTGTGAACACACCTTGGTCTTTGAGTCCATCTATGCTACTTTGATGCCTCACTGGGCTGCAGTCCTAGTTCTCTTGGGCATCTATTTTCTCTTTGAAAGCTCGACACCCAGCCTGTTTCCTATGAAGCATCACAGGGTCATGGTGGGTGACACCATGCATAAGACGATGGGGTGCACAGCACAAGGACTTCCCTTGCACAACTGACAGTCTGATCACAAGGATGCTAAAGGCTGTGGGACTCTGCAGAGCAGGATGGAGATAGCTGCAGATCTCCAGGCAGATGACCTGGACAGGGCAGCTGTACACCATCAGGGATCTAAAGTTACCTCTTGAGTCTCAGCTGAAAATGGATCCTATCTGTATAAACAAGTTCGAGCTCCCTAGAGACATGGATTTTTAACAGGACCAGAATTTGGTACCAGGCCCTCTGATCTTCCCATCCCCTTGCAGCAGAGCTCCTCACCTCCATTTTGGCAAAGGGTTCCCGCTGGAAGAACTTCTGCACCCATAGCTCAAAGTTGAGGCCAAAGCAGTTGAAGATGGACCAGACGTAAACAATCTCACAGGGCCCCAGCCACAGGGTGGTGATGGCAAAGGTGGAGATAGTGGCCATGAGCTCCTTCACAACGTTATCATGGTTCTCCCCGATGTGATCATACACATACCTAACACAAAGGAAAGCAGGTGGTACTCCCTTTAGCGCAGGGGAACCCTCAGGAGTCCCTCCTCCTGCACTGATCCACCACAAGCTCTTCACAGACCTATGTCTCTACAATGCCCCAGTAAGAGGAGAAAGAAATTTTGGGTGAAAAGTTCTAGCAATAAAATGATTTTGACTGCAGTCTAGCTATACCTTGCTTACGTTCCTTGCAAACTAGTAGCTCCTCTAAGGACAAAATACTACCCTTTTCCTCCTTTGTTGGTAAAACACAAGGATCCATAGAGCTGCAGGTTATCTGAGGCCTCCTGGTACACAGCACTTCTGCACAGAGCAGCCATCACTTTGAGAACAGGTTTACTGGCGTGTCCTCACGGCTGAAGAGAGCTGAAAGGCTGAGGGAGTTGTAGACATAGCTCAGATCATCCTTCTTATCCAGGATATGGGACACATGGGCTCAACTCCCTTTTCTTCTTGAGGGAATATAAACCTGATTCTCCCTTCTTCTAGGGAACACTTCCTTCTTCTAGGGAACACTAAACCTTCCAAACTTAGAGGGTATTCTCTTATTCCTCACTGAGAAGGCTGTTGCACTTTGTGTTGATTAATTCAATGTTCTTTAAGATAAACAGACCAAGTCTGGCTCCATACTCTAGTGGGATACACCCTCAAGAGAGGGCACTTGGGCTTTGGGTTGAACAATGTTTAATGCTTCATTGCTGTATGATGAAAAAAAGACCCCAAACCACCCTGGAGACGATTGATTAAAGACTTACTTGCATAGCCAGTCATTAATACCTCTGTCAAAGTGCCTAAAATACAGATGATAAAAAACATGTTAGAATACAAGGGTTAATGACTGACTTTTACTCAGCAGTCATCCAGAGAAGCCATCCAGTCACCTGGAGAGGTGAGGTACACCTAAAACCTCATTTTCAGCATTTTTCATGAGATTCTGGAGTCCTTCCTTGCACAGGTTCCACAAACTGCTATTGGTTGCAACCTCCCTCCTCCTCCATTGCGCCTTACCCAAGAATATTTTCCCTGGGCTATGACCAAGTCTAGCCTATAGGTTCAGAATAGACTGTTCAACCTAGCCAATTTCTAACGTGTGCCAGTTGCTCTGAAGCACAGCCAAGACCTCCTCTCTTCCACGCACACTTATTTTGGATTGAACGTGCTGTCTCTGTTCACCTTTGTATGAGGGCTACTCACGTTTCTGCAAAGACATAGAGCATGGTGATGCATTTTGGGGGCTGTGGTGGGTCCAGGTGGTCCAATCGGGCGATGGTGTTGATGACTCCAAACATGACAGCAGCTTTCACCCAGTCATACACCAAATTGGAGTAGGCCAGGCCAGCTGGAGCAAAAATAGGAATCAAACAAGCAAAGAGGAGCATGGGATGTATCATCTTCAGGATTCTGAGGGATCTCGTGTACCATGGGATTGTGTAGTGTATTGCAACAAATATGACAGCAAGGGAAGAGTTTAGTGCTGTCTTGGACCAACAGAGCTTTTAAAACTAAATAGCCTTTTAAAAGGCTTGAACCAAAGGCATTTCGGAGGGAACTGTTTGTTGGTAATAGTAGTCTAAGAGAGTTGCACAGATCTCATTTCCTCCCTCACAAGCTCTTTCTTCTCCTCTAAGGTTTATTAACCAACGACAAACTCATCACCGTTCTCAACTCTGACCTCTGAGGTTTTATTGACACTGCTATTGAAATGTCCCCCAGGCTCCTTGTGGCCATAGATGTCACAGTGATTCTGCAGCAGTGCAGGGGCCAGAACATCTGTCTTGGAGAGGTGCCTGATAATGGAAAAGTGATCCCTGTAGGATCAAACACCAAAGATTTCAAATTCCTCTGCAAGCAGAATCTAAATAAAGAAAAGCCATCTTGGTGGGATTCGGCTCACAGAGTAATAGCCACATAACGTCTCGATGTGAGCCACGTGCCTGAGCTCCCACCGTGGATGATAAAGATCCAGCTGATAGAGTCAGTGGAGCCTGCAGAGCCACTCAGCTCCTTCTGAAGTGACACATATATTCAGTCAGCCCATCCAGATCTCTTAGGACAGCCTAAATGAATGTCTAGTGCTATTCTACATGCACTAGGATTTCCTGACTGGCTTCCAGCTACCACTCCAGAGAGGCACAGCTTTCCTCCAGCTCTAGCTTTCCCTCTGCCAGCCCTGTATGGAGGTCAGATACCCTACTGCGTCTCAAATGCTGCCAACAGACACGCGTTCGAGCCGCTGAAATCCACGGTCCATCTGCAAGCTGAATGCTAGCGCAGCTATTGCTTTTCATTCTGAGAGTTTGGATCCTGGAGGTCCCTAGTCCACCCTCACTCAGGGCAAGGCCAGCTTTGAAGTTAGATCAGGTTTCTCAAGACCTTGTCTGCATGACAGATTTTGAATATTGACATTTTGGTGGACTCCATAACCTCTTGGGGCCCCTGTTCCAGTGCTTAACCATTCTTTTTATGAAAAAAAAAAATTCCTTAAGTGTAATCAAACTTTCTCTTGCTTTCACTTGTGCCATTTTCTTGTGCTCTTTCACTGTCATCCTGTAAGAAGAATCTGTCTCCATCTTTATAATTTTCCGTAGGTAGATGAGGACAGCAGCTAGACCCCCTGAGCCTCCTCTGAAGCCATACTGAAGCATATTCTCAGCTCAGCCTCTTCCTGTACAACCTGCACTCCAGCCCCCAACCATTTTAGTGGCTCACAATACACCGCTTTAATACCTTCACAACTGGCCACCCACTCTGTGTATTTAAGGTACCGGATATTGCTCTTGCAATAGCATGGGGCTGATTTTCAGAGATGTTGAGCTCTGCCTCCCGTGTCTAGATGAAGACAATGGGAACAACTTGGTGCTCAGCCTCTTAAATCCCAAGCTAAACAATTTTCTCTGGCCTCTGTGAGAAGAGCAGCAGACCTAGACCGCCTTGCTCTCCAGAGCTGCCCAACCCCAGCTCTGTGTACCATCAGCTGGAAGAAGAGGGGTTCTACTCAAACCTGCCCAGCATGGGCACTTGAAGCCAGCTACAGGTGTGAGTGTGTCCCTGCACAGCCACTTACCTAAGGACCAGTCCGAGAGGCGGTTCACAAACTTCAGGTCGGAAGGGAGGGTCAGGATGTAGAAGAAGTGGAAGAATATGTCCACAGCGACGATGACCCCCACGTGGAGGAGGGCCTGGACCCGGATCTTCCTCATCTCATCATCTTTGCGCCTCAGCTCTTGGGTGCTCACCTGTCAGGATGGACACCAAGAAAGGGTTAAACCGAGGGACGGAACTGGGTAGAAAGTTCTTCTGCCTGGAAAAAAAAAAACAGGCCCATCATGGAGCTGGGGTTTAGGATTTCTCCACAGGCACATGCTCAGAAAGGCAGCTTAACTTGAGGGTGGCCCTTTGCAGAGGTCACAAAGTGGGAGTAAGCACTCATACCCATAAAATCTACAGGATGCTGCAGCTGCATCCTAGGAAGGACATCCATGAGTCCCAGGAGCAGTTGGGAGCAGGGGCTGGAGTCCCACCTGAGAACCCTGCCTGGGCAAGGTGGGCACATGTTGCCCATTATTTTAGGCTAGGCAGAAGTCAGTCGTTTGGGAGGAGGAGAAAGAGGATGGCTGATGGTCTCCAGAGCTTCTGCTGCAGGGTGCGCTCCTGTAAATGAAAGGGAAGGCTGCTCAAGGGGCCATCCCGAGTCAGTTGAGACCTGACTGAAGGGGCTTTTCTCTCTGCTGTGCCCTGTACAAGCATGGGCCAGGCTTTGCCTCCAGGAGCTGTCATGTCTCTGGATGTTGTAATATAAAAATCATCAGAGAAAGCTTTTAGGATTACACTGGGCAGATTGATGGCCTCACTTTCCTGCATCGCCATAAAAATTGCTGCTGAATCCAAAATCCTCTTATGTTTATTACTCTTTTTATTCTCCGCGAGAGGTGGGAGTTCTCAGAAAGTAATCTGCAAGCTGCTGCAATAGCCCAGTCACCAAAACCAGATGATTCCTGGGAATTAAAGTCTTTGCTAGATTTGCTAGTTTCTGTTATATGCAGAGTGCACCTAAGAGCCTCCTGCCTTAAGAAAATGAAGAGGTCTCTAAACCCCGAGCTGAAGCAGGTGTTCAATCTAGCAGGGGCGAGCTGTCACAGGCAGCTATCCCTGCAGCCGACACCATGCCAGCAATACCAGAGAGGGCTCTGACAAGGAAACAAGCAACCGAGGATCTGCCAGGGGAGGCTGGGCTCTGGCACAGAGACACACAAGTGGTCGTGGGACCTTAGTTTCCCCCTGGTGATGGTTTCCCACTTGTATCACAGGGCATGACTCTCCTGCTCCCATCAGCTCCTGTCCTTATTACCTGTGCATGGTAATGGCACCCTGCCGCCATCTCACTGAGATTGGGGCTGTTCCCATGCGCACACACACACACACACACACTTCCAGCTGTTCAGAGGTGAATTTGTTCCTTGAATCCCAGTAAGGAAGATCTAGCCTCAGCTCAGCTCCCCTGGAGCCAGGCACCAGGATGCACGTGGCCTATGACCAGCTTTGTGGCACTATGTGGGTTCAGCCTGTGTCATCCAGTGTTACTGGGCATTAGGAGTAGGGAATGATCCAGGGACCCCCTTGCTAAGACTAGCACTGCTCACTGGCACCTCTTCAGCCCAACTGGCACCAGCCAACCCTGCTACAGACAAGGTCCCATTGTGTATTGGGAATGCACGCCGTGCAAAGGGTCCACCAAAGGATAGCACCACTAGAAGCCAAAGAGACAGCGCTGTCCCCTAACCTCGCCACCCGCATCCCATCCTGGAGAAGAGACTCAGTCTTTCTACCCCTAATTTCTGTCGGGCAGTTAGGAATTAGCCTCTGCAATTAGCTGCAGCTCCAGCAGTGCAGAGGGGATCTAGCCAGGAGATGGCAGTGGAGGCCAGGCCAAGACAGGGCTGCTGGCTGGAGGGGAAAAAGGCTTGGGGACTTGCTCCCTCTGCCTTTAAGCGGGGTGTTTTAAAAAGAAGAGGGGGAATTGCTCACTAAGTGGTGATAAACATCCTGCTTTACGGCTGTGCAAAAAGGAGCAGAAAAGAAAAGAGAACAGATTAAGTCCTGTAGGGGTAACAGAAGTTCAGGTCTTGCAGGCACCAGGAGTTTAATGCCACAATCTACATAGTCGTAGCAGTGGTGTTAAGAGAAGCCTGTTCAGGAGGCTGCAACTGTCTCACAGGATAGACTGATAGGAACTGGGGAAAGGAAAATAATATGGGGTGAGGAGAGTACCTCTGGGCACTGCAGCCCCTCTGGAGGAGCTTGGACAGCAGGGCTGCCGGAGCCACATTTGCTGGGACTTTGGCCTGACAGATCAATCACAGCCGGAAAGATTGAACCTCAGGATGAGACAGTGAGTGCTCTCAGCATTTCTGCTGGTGGCTGTAAAGGAGCACGGTGTGGGGGAACAGCCTGGCTGGAGCCCAGCAGTCTCTGTTGCTTGTCTGCTGAGAACCAGCCACTGATGGACTCTCTGCACCACAAGCATCATTTACAGGGGATGCTGGAGCTGACTTTCAGCCACCACCTAACTTGACTCAGGGTCAAACTTCCTCCTAAACCGATCTGTGAAATCCAAGGGATCTTGATCCTGTCCCTGGTCACAACCAGCGATGTATCCTTTCAACAGGTAACAAACACAAGGTTGTTGTGTCCTGTGTTAGCAGGACACAGATCAGCTCTCATCCTGTGGTAACAGCAGCTTTGTGGCTGGCAGTGAGACACGTGGCTCCCACCCTACAAGCTCAGCATCTGGGTGGATCCCCGTTGTTCAAGTGATACTATCACAATACAACCTTCTGGATCACCAGATCCTTGCCTGGGTCACCAATTCCTCTCCAGGAGTTTTCAGATAGAGATCCCTTCCAGCAGCAAGTTTGAAAAGCAAATCAGGAGATGGTGCATACCCATTCAGTTCATGCAGGAGCGGTGGGAATCACAACCACAGTGGGTTGTGGAGGCTAGGAGTGGGAGTCAGACAAATTTGGAGGACAGCTTCACCTAGGCAATTAAATATGATGGTCCAGTGCAAATTCCAGTACAGGAAGGCTCCCAAGGCTCTCTGCAGGGAACAAGTCTCGTGCAGACCCTTTCTTACGTTGTCTACCTTGTCTCCCTATCTTACGCTGACAACCATGTTAGGCCAACTTTGCAGACAAAGTGCTGGACTGGGTGGGCCTTTGATCAGACTTTAGTCTTCCTGCTTCCACACCAGGGATACCCTGACTGCTTTCACCCACCCTGGACACTGGCTGGCTATTCTTCTGAATTCATGGAAGAGTTTCTAAAATGCTCTTGTGTCCAGATGTTAGCTGGGGTGCATAAATTCTATTTAATTATTCTTTAAAAGGAAACAGAAGGGAAACGGCAACCAGTAGATGGGCTTTCTGCTACCGTCGCTGACCAGGCAAGAGGACTTTTTCTTAAGAGTCAGTAACATTTTGCTTTGCTGATAAAGATCCGTCAATGATGTAAAAGGGTGTTGGGATGGGAAGAGTGAGAAATGAGAGACAGCTGCCATTTAGCTTGATCCTTCGATGTGAAACAGCCTCAGGGTTGGATGATCCCAGGCTGGGCTAATGAGTTTTCCAGAGCTATTTGGATCCACCTTTCAAAAGCACTCTTGGTTGTGTGCAATATGGATAGGGGCCCTGGGCACCTGAGCATTTCAGAGGGAGCAGAAGACGACCCATGATGTAGCTGAAAAACAACCTGCTACAAAAATCCTCCCACCTAGACTTACTTATTTCTAGAGAAACACCTTGATCTTAAGATACACAGACCAGCCCTATAAATTCTTGCTCCTCAAGTGAACCAGCTCGGATGCCCCTGCTTCCTCAGGCACGTGCTCACAGCTGTCGCCATGCAAAGGTCCCCACAGATGGATGCCAACAGGTATCAGACATCTAGCTCACACTGTGGTTCGCCGGCACCGCAGAGAAGGGGAGCACAGAGGCATCGGGGTAGTAGCACATGGTGGGCAATTTCTGCAGGCGCTTTGTGCGGGCAATTAACTATCTGCTCTCAGGTGAAAGCACAGTTTGTGTGTCCTGAACCCAGCGAAGATTACCAGGCCAATCTTCATGTTTGCACAACCCTCTGTGCATGCAGGTGTATTTTCACTTGCCAACGGGGGAAACTGAGGCACTGAGCGGTGGAACGCAAAGTTGCCCAGTGAGCACAGACAACCACTGCTACGTCCTTATCTCCTCAAACTCCATGTGGTGCTTTCATCACAACAATATCTGTCTTAGCATAGGAAATGGCTAAATGTCCATGAGGGGCAAACTGCTGAGGAGGGTTAAAAAACCTTCTTTAGTTTAGTGCCATCAGTTTGTGCCCCTCCTCAAAACCGGGGCACCATTGTGGAGCGTGGACCACACCCAGGGTCTACACGAACGCAGCAAGGTCTGCAGTCATTTGCACCTCCACTGTGGCAAACAGTCTCTTTTGGTAGGCATTAAAACCAAGCAACTAAATACAGCATCAAGGGGAGCGGTCTCCTTGTGGTCTGGCCTTGAGAGGTGGCCAGGACACTTACCTGAGCATAGAACTGGTCAAATGTCATGATGGGCCCGAAGAAAAAGAAGGGAAGGTAGAAGTTGTATTTGAGGAGGTCGAAGATGGAGTAGATGCCCTCCTTTCTCTCGCAGCTCTCGAGTGCGAAGCTGATGCAGCGCATGATGGTGAAGCCACTTCCCCCATAGAAGAGGACATCTTGAAGATCAAAAGCTCCTGTTACAAACCCACTCTAGGTGAGAAATGAAGAGTTACCACCACACAACTCACGTCACCTCTGCACGTCGTCACTTTTCTGAGGACATCCGCTCCCGGGGGAACGGTTTAAAGCCAATTACATTCTAACACAAATTGCTCCCATGGCTAATTAGCCTTGCTGTTAGATTGATAAAACTGGGGCTTGATGCTTTGCATCCTGGAGAAGCCAGGAGCTGGTAGATCCTCTCAGCCACATCTTCACCAAGCTGGGCTCGTACCAGCTACGGCACCAGGGCTAGCAGGGTTTTCGGCTCCAGGCCCAGCCCCGGGCTGCATTACCTGGCTCCCAGCTGGCTTTGAGGGAGGGAAGAGCCTGGTGGCAGCTGCCTGCCAGGCCCAGGTGTACCATCTCGCAAGGACACGCAGGCTTTGCTCCAGGACAGGAATTTCATCACAGCCCATGTTCTGGGGAAGGGTAGGACAGAGCTCTCCCTGGGGTCCAAGGAAAGGCAGTACAAGCCTGACGTAGCAGGGGAGTATCATTCAGAAGGTGGGCGATGGGCAAGGACAGGTAACGTTGTCCTTCCTCTGGTAGGAAGAGGGACCAAATGGCCTTGCAAGGTCCTTCCCGGTCTTTTGCCTGCCAGCAGGGCAGAAGTCTTTAACTAGGCAGAGGCATAAGAGATACACATGGGCATCACTGAACCCACGCTGGTACTGTGTTACAGGTGGGGAAACTGAGGCACAGGGCAGTGACCTATCTTGCCTGGGGCCACTTAGCAGGCTGTTGTCTGAGCAACAAGGAGGACCCAGGCGTCCTGAGCTCTGGCCCAACATGAAGTCACAAAAGCGGGGCATGACTCCCATGGGATTATTCCCAAGGGTACGGTACTCTTGAACCCTGTGGGAGCTGCTACGGAGCCAGGAGAACTGCTTGGGGCTTATGGGAGACCTCCTTGGAGGTAAATCTAAGGAGAGGGACATGAAAGGCCTGGAAACAAGGCAAATGGGTGGCCTGAGGCAGCACCTACCTGCCAAGAGCTGAAGGGCTCCACCTTGAAGGACGCGAGGCAGCAGAGCCCGGCCACATGGCAGAGCCATTTCTGCTTCACCAGCGAGACGGAGTAGAGGATGATGCAGTGGGAGAGGATGATCATGAGGTAGACGAGCCCCATGCTGCCCAGCACAGCCAGGAGCCCGTACAGCATGTACACCACGGCCCGGTGCTGTGAGGGGAGAGTGGTCCCCTCTATGATCAGCTCTATGAAAGCCCCGACCCTTTCCCAGATTACAGCTAACAAAGCTATTTAATATAGCTGCTGGCCTCTATGATCCCATAAGAAACTACCCTGGGAAATGGGATTGGAAGAACCACTCTGTTTCTAAAGTCATAAAAGAAAATCTCTTGCAGTCCGGCTCCATCTCGGGCTGCCACATGGGGGTGTATGGTTCCCCTCCCCAGGGAGCCCACAATGGATCTGACTCCTGCCCCTGCCATTTGGTCCCACTCCCACATTTTCACAAACCGCTTTCACTTCTCCTCCCCACGAGACTACATATTTAGCCTCCATCCCAGCCTGGACTTGCAGAGGCTCGGTGAGTTTTCACCTCTTGGTCTCCAAGAGGCTCATCAAGTCCACACACCCTTGTAACCCTAATGCCCATGTTAAGTGCAACAAGCAGGGTCTGTGGGTGATGCCCACGTTGAGTGCAAGAAGCAAATATCCCTCAACTGTGGATGAATCCTGGGCAGCCCACGGACAGACAGATGCAGAGGTCCCCTCACAACCTTCAGGGAGCCTCTTCTTCTGCATCATCCTTGAGCTCCTAAATCCACCCCCTGGTCCCTCGCTCACCTGTGGCATGATCATGGAGCAGATCTTGGCGAACAGGACGTGCCCCGAAAGGGCAAAGATGATGAAGTTCCTGAACGAGGTGAACCACATCACCCACTCGAAATCAGCTACGTCCTGTGGGAGCAAAGCAGGGCACCTTACTGCCCCAAGCCTTTGCCCTCTGCTGGCCTTGGCCCTTGAGCGCCTGCCTCAGGAAGTCAGATGTCCACACGTGCCAGAGGCTGAATGGGCGTTTAGGCTGTGAGGGCACCTCATTATCATGCAGCTTTCCAAGCCTGTTCTTCCCATTTTCGACCCGAGGGCTGCCAAGCGCTTTAGTTCGGTCATAAAACTGAGGGAAAGATTTGCAGAGACTATTTGTCTCTCTAGATGCATGCAAAGCACATCTGCTGCGCTGTAGGGCTAATATTTCCCTGACTTCTTTAAAGGCCCTTTAAAGGCCCTTCTTTAAAGGTCACACTGAAAAGAAGGAAAAAAAAAAGGTCACATGGACTTTGTAAATGTATGTCAGCAGCAGAAAAATCATCTCGGCTTTTCCAGCAGTCAGTACTAATCGTGTGCTCCTAGGAAATCGCCAGCTCCTTACTCCACTTACCATCTTCCTACCGAAGTAATGCCAGCCTGGTTTTATGCCATCGCGGAAGGTCTTTCTGTTCATGCTGTCTGCAAAAGAATAATTCCCATGGAAAACCACAGGGATCAGGAACCTCAACTGTTTCCGCATGAATTTCCAGCAAAGCCTTTGCGCATTGCATCCTCCCAGGGATCCTTAGCAGATCCTGTGCAGAGGAGTGCAGGTCTGTGTTTTTTTCAGCTCCCAGGTTAAAAAAAAAAAAAAAAATTGGGGAACTGCCCCTTGTTAGGGTGCTGGCTGGAGCAGATATGCACATAGCCCTGTTGCTCTGACCCATGGAAATTGGGGCTGAGGGGGTAACCATGAAGGGAGACAGATATGAACCCCTTTTGGGGGTCAGATGCAAGGGCTTCCTAAGACATTCTCTGCAAAAATTAAAGCCAGGGTGGCTACGCTGGTATCTACAGGTGTCTGCCTGAAGGACACCTCGGCTCACATGCACAGTCCCTCTCCCATGGCATCCCCACCCCTCACGCCCCAGGGGACGAGGGAAGTTACCTCTTGAGGCTTCAAAGATCCCGCTCCCGCTGTACACCACAGCGCACGTCAAGGTGAGAGCATAAAACCCCAGCTCGTAGCTGGGGAGCTTTGCTTTAACCCCCATCGCTGCAGATCACCGCCCCGGCAGCCTGGGGGGAAGCAAACGTTGACCTGGGAACAGGGAGCAGGACACAGAAAGGAGGAGGAGAAGGAGGAGAAGGGGGGGGGAAAAAAAAAAAAAAAAAAAAAAAGGTGGTGTTTTCCTGGCCTCGGTGCATCCCTTAAAAGAAAGCAGTTTCACCTGCAGCTGAGCCCCCATGGTGACAGCTCAGGTGTGGGAAATAACATTGCTGCTAAAACAAGCTGAAAATGCCAGTGAGGAGCCTGGCTTTGGGGTCAGCTGAGCCGAGTGCTCCCAGGGCTGCTGGTGAGGGGATTTGCAGCCATCTGGGTATGTTCCCTCCTTCCCTCCCTCCCTCCCTGGAGCCCAGCAGGGTCCTGCCTTTGCATACCACATCCTGAAGTGTGGGGACATGATGCTCCGGGAACGGCCTGCGAGCTCTGCCCTCTCGCTGCCCTGCTGCATCAAAGACTGTCAGCAAAAGCTGTGCTTGTCTGTCCCAGCCACACCCCGCAGTGTGGCGAGGTGTGGTGGTGATGGGCAGGCAACCTCCCCACAGCGGGGCCGACCCTGCAATCTGAAGACTGGTTTCTGCCCCCTCTGCAGGTGCCCTGCTTGGCATGCCAATGCTCTTGGCTAATTACTTCTGCCAGGGCTAATTAACCCCAGCACGATGTGCCTTTAATGCTTGTCCGAGCGCACCGGCTGCACGGTCACCTCCCGTCGGCTGCTACTGAAAACGCAGCTAAAGGGCAGCGTGTTGTGCTCAGCTGGAGAGGAGAGGGTAACCTCCAGCGCAGGACCTCCCCGGGCACCCTATGGTGCCCAGGCGGCTCCCGCGGCCCCCCCCGGGCACCGGGGTGGGGGGGCC